GAGAGAGAGAGAGAGAGAGAGAGAGAGAGAGAGAGAGAGAGAGAGAGAGAGAGAGATCAGAGACTATTTCACGAGTTGCCTCCCAGACTTGGACTCGACATTTGGAGTGACAGTATTGTGGGACGTTTGGTGAGAGACTATTATTAGCTACCTGATACAATGAGCTGCAGTCCCTTCATCTTCTTTGTCGTCGTCATCATCGTCTTCTCACATTCATCTCATTCTTCAATCATCCGTGAAATGTGCGGCGCGAAGAGAGATCTCCATATACGCCCCCTGCTTGCCTATCTCATGAGTGATGATGTATGTGTGTGCTGAGTCCAGAACCTGATGATGAGATTGGTGATTTTTTTGTCTTCCGCTGCTCATATTGTTGTTTCTGAGCAGTTTGGAGATTCCTTGGTTTTGGCGCCATGCCAATCCGAGAGATCCTAAATCCTTAACCGTAAACCCTAAACCCTAAACTCTGAAACCTTAACCCTCAACCCTTAACCCTAAACCCTTAACCCTAAACCCTAAGCATGGGACAGCTGTGGACCTCAAGCTCCGGACCCTAAGCCCTTAACACTAATACAGAGACCCTAAACCCTAAACAGGCAGCACCAACCCCTACACCCTAAGCAATAACCGCTCAACCCTTAACCCTAAGCCAGAAACCCTAAGCTCTATTGTGCTATTGCTGGCTCAGCAGGACAACTTTGTGTCTTTTTGCTTTCCCCTTGGAAGGGCAACAAGAGGAGTAGGCAATTCCCCCCCCTCCTCCCCCCTCCTCCCCCCTCCGGTGTGGAAGGGCAACAAGAGGAGTAGGCCAAGGAGCCTGGGGGGGAGGAGTCTTAGCCCGCAAGGCCCTCCTTAAACAAGTGAAGCCTTTATGGCCCTCCTGAAAATGGGGGTAGGAGTTTTTAACCTGTATGACCGTATTTAGAAAAGAAGCAGTAGCCTTAAGCTAACGAGTAAGGAAAATAACGTGGCGGCGCGAGACCTGCCACACACCGTAGTGCGTACTTTTTGCTGGGGTACAGGCTAGTAGGGAGCTGACACTGCCTACTCTGCAGGACTCTCCCGAGCAGGCCTCCCGATTAGATTTGAAGAAAAAGAAAAAAAAAGAACAGTGAGGACTATTCTGCGAATTTTTGCTGGTGGGCATAAATGAGTTGCCTGCTGATCCACCTGACTTAGGCCAGATTGTACGTGATAGAGCTACTTGACCATGGCTTCAAGGGGGAGGGTAAGGGTGGGGGGGCGGGGGGGGGGGGGGGGGCGCGGGGTAGAGAAGAGGGTAATGGATACAAATTACAATAAATGTCAACGGTCGTCCAACTTAAGCCGCCAGTACCTTTCCCCGCTTGAAAATCAAATACGCGCCGGTATATTCGGGAGCAAGAGCTGAGCCGCGGGATCAGCACTACCGAACCCAAATGGCTGTGGCGCCAGCCAAAACGAGGCCCACGTCGATTCGTCGTTTTTTTTGGTGCGCAGGTTGATTTTAGGCTCGGCATGGATAGCTAAAGAAAGGCACTGGTGGTTTAAAGGGGGGAAGAAAGGATAAAAAGAAGCTGGGAAAAGAAAGAAGAAGGACCGGAGAATGAAGAAACGCGATGAAACACATTGACTAAGCGAATGTTGCTCTTTCCTTTTTGTGGTTTTCTGCAAAAACTTATACAGGTGGCACTAGTCTCCATGGTGAACGAGGCTTCAGCTAACCTACCACGTTGGGATGCTCGCTTGTGATGACGTTTTACAAAACATCTCATTGCGACAACCATCTGGACCGCACCCACGTGCTGTGCAAGTTCCCTGCTTCTTTCGGCCGGAATCCTTTTCGAAATCTGTAGCTTCCCAAGAATCTCTCTCTCTCTCTCTCTCTCTCTCTCTCTCTCTCGGGCGCGCGCGCACGTACACATGCACATTCTTTGGAGCATGATGGAACTGTGTGTGTATGGAGCATGGAGGGACTGTGTGTGTGTCATGGGGCTTTGAGAAATGTTTTTCGGGTTTGTGTCGGGAAATTGGGTGTTGGAGCAGGATTAAGATGGGGGGGGGGGGAAGAAAAAGGGGGGGGGTGTTGTCGCATGAAGGGACAGTCTGTGTGTGTGTGTGGTTGAGTGGAGGCAGCATGAAGGAACTGTGTGCGTGTGTGTGTGTGTGGACATGTGTGTGAGTTCGTGTGTGAATGTAGCATGAAAGGACTGAGTGTGTGTATGTGTGCGCCAAACACGCGCCGATTGCATGTGTGTAGGCAGCGTGAAGGGAGTGTGTGTGTGTGTGTACATATTCGTGTGTGAATTAGCATGCAGGGATCGAGTGTGTATATGTGTGTGCCACACATGTGTGAATTATATGCAGGGGGGGGGATGTGTGTGCGGAAGTGGCGAATCTCTTATTTATGGGCGGGATGATGTTCTGTTGTAGAGCGTGTGACAAGGAGGGGGGAAGCTCTACAACTTGTTGATAAGGGCACACCTCTGTTTCTGTTGTTGTTAAATCTATAAGCTTTTTATCGAGTCTTTCATCCTTTTTTTCTTTCCCCCACACTGGTCATCTGGATTCTGGTTGCATCTGGATTCGAACTCAGGTCTGTATTTCAACAGTTCAAGGGTGTACCAACTGAGCTAGGCCCGTTGGTATCAAGTCTTTCATAGTGGCAAAGCAATTTTATTTAGCATGTTAGTTTTCAATTGTCAGTTTTCAGCTTTGGCTTCCATCTTGACAGAAAAGAACTTAAAAAAGTTTATCATCATCTGTCTTCTTCGCTTCCATCTGTTCCAGTCTCTTGGGGTGCGGAGGGGGGAGGGAGGGGGAGGGGGAGAGGGAGGGGGAAGGGGAGAGGGAGGGGGCATAGCGAACGTTTTTATATTTCTCCCCTTTCTCCCTTTTCTCCCCTTTCTCCCGGTTCTCTCCTTCTTCCCTTGCTCCTTACCTCCCACCAGCACCCAACCCCCCGCCCCCCATGATTCATCTTATTCTCTTATTTAATGGCTCCCTCAGGCTGGAGCGAGGTCCCACTGGCAAAGAGGATTGGATTTTATGCCTGAGCCTGGACATGCTTATGGAGAAGTGAAGAAAAACTTCCAATCGATCTGCTTTTGTGGAGAGGTCCCACTGGCATATGTGCACAGCCATGCTGACCTTGCCTTGGCTTTTAACCAGACTAGGGTCGCATTTGCCTGTGGACCAACCCAAAGCCCGGGAAAACCGCCCCAAAACCCGAAAAAGAGTTCGGTGTACAATTTGCACATTCCCCCAGACTGTTTGGAACACAAGGCCTATTTCCAGATTTCCACATTTCGAGTGGGCTTGCGATAGCAGGGTGTGTGTGTGTGTGTTTGGCATATAGGAGAACATCAGTAGGCTCTCTAGAGCCGTGCGCAAAGCATCTCTATCGATCCACTTAATATAGTACAGATACCATTTGCCAGACCAACAGAAAGTACTACCAATTGTGATGATATGGTCCGATTCTCATGGGGTCTGGTTCCCAGCAGTTATGCTCCCCATGAATAGATCGGACTCATAGGAGCCTTCCTCCCCCCACCCCCCGCCCACACACCCAAAAAAAAAGAAAAAGGGTCCAGTTCTCGTAGTGACATGAGCGCAAGAGCATGCATTGTTTTTATATTGTTGTTTGTATGGTGTAGTCAACGACCGTCTTCACCTGAATAGAACGCCTGGTCATTATCATTAGACTGAAAGTTGCACCAAATACAGCTATGATGACCGGGCGTTCTAGTCGGGTGAAGACGGTAGTTGAAAAACAAAACACAATTCTGAGCTAAGGGATTGAGGCCGATCGGCTGCATTATCTTGTCATGATTGGAGTGTAGCCAAGTGGAAAGGCATTGGTTTTTTATGCCGACATGCAAAGGTTTGAATCCTTTTACTCCAGCAATTAATTCCAATTCAGTTTTTGTTTTGAAAGCTGATGTATTAAACTTTGGAAACCTCCAAAAGAAGCCAAAACAAAACCTATCCAAATATGCTATGCCTAAGGTAAATTTGTATAGGCGAATGGTTATGCCAATTGAATGTGGTAGTGTATACCAGACAGTTCTCAATGGGGGGACTCGGAGAGAACTGGATCTGCTTTGAGGGGGGGACTCTTAGAGAATCTGATTCAGAACCCAAGCTGGGTAATGTTCCCAGTACTTTCTAGCTAGGCTACCAGAGTCGACCGGGACCATTTGCCTGGCCGGGTCAAAACAAATTAATTTTTTTTTGAAAAAAAAACTAGGCTACCAGAGTGGCCCGGGACCACTTGCCCGGCCGGGCCAAAAA